TAATTCCTTAAAATCACAGTTAGTGTTCAAATTTCTTTGATTATTTCATAATTTTTTCAGCTCATTTGTTTCCAGTTGGGATCTAAAAGAATCTACACATTGCATTTGGTTGGTATGCCTCTGAAATTTCTTTAAATCTGCATATTCTTCTTTCTGTCCCCTTCCCTTCTACTTATTGAAGAAACCAGAACATTTTTCTTTTTAGAATTTTCCTCATTTTGGTGTCATGTAATTACAAGAAAACCCACCTCTCTTGTATTTCCTGTAAATTAGTTAGACCTACAGACTTCATCAGATTCAATTTTCTTTTTCTTTTTTTTTTTTAAGAATGCTGCGTAGGCCTGGGCATAATCCCAGCACCTTGGGAGGCCAAGGCAGGAAAATCAGTTGAGCCCAGGCTTTAGAGACCAGGCTGGACAACATAGACCCAGTTTCTTAGAAAACAACAACAATTTTTTTTTTAATTAGCTGGGTGTGGTTGCATGTGTCTATAGTCCCAGCTACTTGGGAGGCTGAGACAAGAGGACCACCTGAGCCCAGGAGTTCAGGGTTGTAGTGAGCTGTGATCACACCACTGTACTCAGCCTGGGCAACAGAACGAGATCCTGTCTCTAAAAAATAAAAATAAAATTGAAAGAAAAAATGCTGCTTAGGTGGTACTATGTTTTTTTTTATTGCATCAATTCAAGGGGTACATATTATATGTTTTGTGATCTTAAGATTGATCAGTGAATATAAGATTGATCCTGATCCATCCTTTATAAAGTTAGTTCCCTATTAGTCTTTTACTTAATGATTTTAGCATCCATTGACAATCATTGCTTGGATACATTATTTTATTAAGGGCTGTGAAATGGTGATATTCACATTTTACCATTTCTTTTGAATTGGTGGGAGACGTATAAAGAAAACTTTAATTATTTTGAGTTATAGTTCATATAGGATAGGAAGGATAAATGCTTGACTCATGCCTTGTTTCCCAAACATCTTCTAAAGGTAACCAATGAGGGTTTTTTGTTGTTTTTGAATATAATTATGAACTTTTGGATTTTTAATATTTAATATGTTTTCAATCATTGCAGCAATTTTGCAATGTTAAATTGCTTCCTTTTGGCTAGAGGATTCTTCACATTGGCTCCTATGTTCTTATTACATAATCCTAGTAGTCTTTGAGGGTTTTCTTGCTTTCTGGTATAACAAGGTATTTCAGGTTTATCTAATAAATTTCCTTTTCTAGACCTGGAGACAGCCATTTCTCCAAGGATCTCTGGTTCTTTCTGTGGGAAATGCTATTTAGGGACCACAATCTAGGCACAGATATATTGACTTACCCTAGTTTGGGCTTTTGTTCTAGGCCTTTTAGTGGACTGAACTGGGAATCTTTCCTTTTTGTTTTTAAAGAGCAAATATATATTCCTCTCTATTGTTGAAAGTATTAATTCTTAATCATATTATTTGCTTTTCCCAGTATATACATATATACATATGTATGCATATATGTGTGACAATACCAATATCACTTCTAGCCATAGAGTGACTGAAAACGTTCAAGTTTTCTTTGGCGTATTATCAAATTTCTCTGTTTGCCAATCACTTGAAATAGTTCCTTGTGCTCATTATAATATTTCTTCATCCATGTTGTTGCATGTGTTAGTGTGTTAAGAGTTCTCCAAAAAAAAAAACAAAACAGAACCAATACAATATATACCGTGCTATATGAGAGGATTTATCATGGGAAGTGGCTCACGTGGTTATGGAAGCCGAGAAGTCCCATGATGTGCCAACGCCATCTGCAAGACAGCCGGGAAAGCCAAGGGTGTCCTCCACTGGACACCTCAGTCCAAAGGCCTGAGAACTAGGAGTTCTGATGCCTGAAGGCAGGAGAGCAGATGGATGTCTCAGCTCATGGAGAGAAAGACTCCACCTGTCCTTCCACCCGGGTTCTGTTCAGGCCCTCAGTGGATTGGATGGAGGCTATGATTCTCACCCATGTGGGTGAGGGCGCATATTCTTTACTCAGTCTACAAATTCAAACGCTGATCTCTTCCAATAATGTTTACCAGCCATTGGGCATCTCTTACTCAAGCTGACACATAAAATTAACCATCACAGTCTGTATTTCTTTTGGATTGCTGAATATAATTCCATGGTATGAATATACCACGTTTTGGTTTACCTTTTTCTTCTATTTGATGGACATTTGGTATCTTTCTAGTTTGTGCTATTACGAATAAAGCTGCTATAAACATTCTTGTACAAGCTTGTTTTCATTTTTCTCACATATATATACACCAAGGAGTGGAATTGCTGGGTCATAGGGTAGGTATATTTTGAACTTCATTAGACACTGCTGAACAGTTTCCTAAAGTATTCGCATCATTTTGCACTTTTAGCAGCAGTGTGCCAAAGGTCCTCTTGTTCCCATTCTCCTACACTGATTTCTCACTGTCATTTTCTCCTATTTTTCTTATTCTGATAAAATTTGGTCAACAGTTTTCCAACCCTATATTGAATGTTTTATTTCTGTTGTCCAATTTTTTTGTGTTCTCCTATTTCCTATATTTTAGTAGAGATGGGGTCTCGCTCTTGCCCAGGCTGGTCTCTGAACTCCTGAGCTCAAATGATTGACCAGCCTCAGTCTCCCTGAGTGCTAGGATTACAGGCATGAGCCACTGCGCCAGGCCCTGTTAGCACATATTCTAATTTCAGAGTTTGATGTTAGAATTTCCACACTTAGAAAACTTTATAAAGTGGGTTCAGAGATGTCTTGTGTTTGTTGTTTTGAAGCCAAATTAAGATTTATTCCCTTTATATTTTCATTATTGAAAAGTTATCAGAAACCACATAACATTGGTCCCCTTAAATTGGGGCAGTTGTACTCAAAATTGATGGTTGGGGCCCAAACTGCAGTTCAGTGGGTGTTGAGGAATCTGGTTAGATTGACTTGTGTAGGACTTCTTCAGTCTAACATTTGTGGTGCAAACTGAGGTTTCAACCAAATGTTTTTGTTGTTGTTTTTAAACAGAGGAGGCCTCACTGTACTGCTCAGGCTGGTCTCAAACTCCTGGCCTCAAGCACTCGCCCTCAGCCTCCTGAATCACTGAGATTTCAGGCATGAGCCGCCATACCCAGCTCTTTTTTTTTCTCGAGAAAACACTTGACACAGCCCAGGGCCTCACTCTTACTCTGGCCCACTATCTCCGGTATGTGATGGCCCATGAGGCAGCCTAGAAAGTCAGGTCTCTCAAATTTTCCCCAGGATGCCAACTCTTTCATGTACTTTTAGTACCTAAAGCATGTGTTTTGTCTTTTTAAACCAAGTCCAGAATCCTGGCACTTCAGGAGGTGGACAGAGGATTCATCTGTGAATCCACAGCATTGATCAGAAATTTGGGCCAGGCACGGGTGGCTTATGCCTGTAATCCTAGCACTCTGGGAGGAGGCGGCGGGAGGATTCCTTGAGGTCAGGAGTTCAAGACCAGCATGAGCAAGAGTGAGACCTCATCTATACTAAAAATAAAAACAATTAGCCAGTCAACTAAAAATAGACACAAAAGATTAGCTAGGCGTGGTAACTCAGGTAACTCGTGCCTGTGTTCTCAACTACTTGGGAGGCTGAGGCAGGAGGATTCCTTGAGCCCAGGAGTTTGCGGTTGCTGTGAGCTAGGCTGATGCCATGGCACTCACTCTAGCCTGGGCAACAAAGCGAGACTCTGTCTCAAAAACAAAAAATGTTAGAGAAACCTGATGTTTAAGAAAGACAAATGGCCAGGCATGGTTGCTCATGCTTATAATCCTAGCACTGTAGGAGGCTGAGGCAGGAGGACTGCTTGAGCTCAGAAGTTTTAGACCAGCCTGAGCAAAAGCGAGATCCCATCTCTACTAAATATAGAAAAATTAGCTGGGCATGGTGGTGCAAGCCTGTTAACCCAGCACTGAGCTAGGCTAACGCCACTGCACTCTACTGTGCCTGGGCAACAGTGAGACTCTGACTCAAAAAAAGACAAAGAATCCCATGTTTTCTAAAACAGACTGATTATCAGACTTACCAGGGAGCTTGTGAAAATGCAGGTCCCTGGACCCCTCTGCTGGGTATTTTGAATCAGGGGGCCAGGATACAGCCAGGAATCTGTACTTTTAAAACAGCCAGCTTATCTAAAGTATATAGTCATTCCCCATCCACAACTCTCTACATCTTAGCCATGACTTAAGAGAAAACATCTAAAAGCTACATGTCCAGATTACATTATTCTAGTTTCCCATAGAAATTGGGCTTCAAGGAGCATAAAGCAATTTTTGTCAACATGACACACTGACTTGCAGACAATTTCTATACCTTTCATAAAAAACTGCCTAAAAGCATCAACCAGTATTTACATAAGAATCCATGTCCATTTGTTCCAAAAATGCCTGGAAAAGTTGGCTCCTAGAGGAACCTGTGTGTTCCTTTCTGTCAAGTAAAAGCTGTGCATCCTGAGGTATTTGTTTCTCGGCCTTCTTGGAAGTTCACAGATAAATTAGGTATCATTTGGAAGTTTACCCCATTTAAAAATGCCTGCTGTATCTCTCTCTGCCTACGCTTTAAAATACCCAATCCTATTTCTAAAAAGTGTTTATAACCACATGTAGCAATAGAGTTATAATGTAAGCAATCCTGCTTTAGGCACTGACCAGTTCCACAGCTTTGAACTCTCCAAATGTTCTGGAAGCCAATATATGAAAAACAAAACTCAGTTTTTATATGCAGAAGGAGAAAGAGACCTGGTTGGGTTCGCTCTCCACTAAGTATCCAGCGCCAGCACAGGGTCTAACATAGAGCAGATGCTCGGTAAATGCTTGCTGAAAGAATGAATCAACAAGGGAATGAGTGATTGAAGGAGAGAATCGAAGAACTCATCCATGCTTGTACGGGGCGCGGGACTGGCAGGAATCTAGAAGCCAGCCCGGATTCCACCCGGCAGGGGGCGGGGCGCCCGCAGAACCCCGCCCACACGGGGGCGGGGCCTGCAGCGCGCGGGAAGCGGCGCGCGCGCGGCTGGGGGTGACGGCGCCGCAGACTGACCGCGTTCCCTCAGGTACGGCTTCCCAGGGATGGCCCCTGCGACCCTGCGGTTTTCCCGGCTGGGGCGGGAGGGAAAGATAAGGTCTGGCCGCTGGGGCCTGGGACAGCTCCAGAGCGGCGTGCGTCCCGGCGTCCGGCCCGGCGCGGCCCCGGCCCCAGCCCCGGCCCCGGCCCCGGCCTCCTCCCGCCAGGTCTTGGGCCGCTTCCTGGGCCCACGCCTAGTCCCTGGGAAGTGGAGTCGCCTCCCCCGTGCGGCTCCCTCCCCCGTGCGACCCCCTCTTCCGGAGGACCCTTCCCGGGGCGGCCCCCTCCTTTCGGTACCCCCTCCCTTGGTCAGCCCCCTCCTCAGCTCTCCCGGCGCGCCCCTATCCCCCACTAAGCTTGGGCGGGTCGCGCAGCCCGCCGGGGCCCCTGAGTGGTCTCTATCTGGGTGCTTCCCTTTTGCCCTTCCGGCTGTAGCAGGAGCATCATAAAGTCGTGGGAGCCACTGCTCAAGCGGCATTTTAGGTGGAGCTTGGGAGGTGTTCAGGTCAGGTGGCAACATTATCATCCTTTCCCAATGCAGCGTGCATTTTAACGGTTAGCAGGGTTCCTAGCTCATAGTAAGTAAGCGCTCAATAACCCTTTGCTGCTATAACGCTGTTACTTAATTCATTACCAGCATTTTGCAGCTTTCCTCTGTCTTTGGAAAAAGAACGCTGCCTGAGGAAATTTTTGGCCTCCCCTAGACTCAGGAGCATGAAAGTCATCACGTGCGAAATAGCCTGGCACAACAAGGAGCCGGTGTACAGCCTGGACTTCCAGCATGGGACCGCCGGCAGGATCCACAGACTGGCGTCTGCAGGCGTGGACACCGCTGTCAGGGTATATGGGAGCTGAGATAGGCACCGGGAAGCACTGCTTGAAGCAGCAGTTCTCATTCTTTTATTTCAGACCGTCAACAAACTCAAACTACTTTGTCATCTAGCCCAGAATGCTAAATTCTCAGGGCCTCCTGTGAACAATGAAAGTAAAAGAGAGCCGCTTTCTTATTTGACTAATATTGTGGACATTGTCCTAATGGGGTGCCCAATGTTTTAGAATCCTGATCTAGGTTCCTATTGGGTAACACTTTGCTCTAGAAAGAGGTAGGGAGCACAGCAGACAATGGGACTGTATCGATTTATGTTTTAGATAGGAGTGGTTTGTTCATTTTACATTTCAAAAAAAACCCTAAATTATTTTCCTGAACGTGAGCTTGGTGTTATTTTAGTAGAAATAAGATAGTAGGTACTCTGTGTGTTTTGAGTGGATGTTTTGGTATCAACAGATCTGGAAGGTAGAAAAAGGACCAGATGGAAAAGCCATAGTGGAATTTTTGTCCAATCTTGTTCGTCATACTAAAGCCGTCAATGTCGTGCGTTTTTCTCCAACTGGGGACATTTTAGCATCAGGAGGAGATGGTGAGTGTTGCTGTACTTCAGAAATTTTCTAGAAACCAGATATCTGTGTATCTCAAGTCAAATCATGAGACACGATTTGAGCCTGTGCCTTTTTATTTTAGGTGTGGCTGACCCTCTCACTCTGTCCTTTAGATAGTATGGTAATATAATGTTCTGGGGAGTGTGTCAGAATGAAGGGAAGGAGGGCAAAAGATTAAACTGAGAAGACTCTTCTCAGAAGGAGAAATAGGAAAGGTGCTTGCCATTCTGTCAGGGTCCCAAAGCAACTGTTCCGGCATTGTTTTGTTGTTATTTAATATCTGTGGGGATCAGGGTTAGTATCATGTCTCTGTTTAATCATGTCTCTGTGTAGTATCATCTCTCTAGGTAATCAGTTGGCTTTGGGAAACATGGTTTCTGATAAATGGGAAAATTTTTAAAAATTGGCTTTGGGAGTATCTTTAATGAATGGCCTTGTAATTTGTGCTTGTTTGGTGGGAGTAGATTGATTCATATTTTCTGCCTGTGCTTAAATGGGATAAAACTATAGAGAAAAAGCAAACATTTTTACTATACTTTAAAACAATCTAGAAACCAGTGTAAAATAAACCAGAAATCTCAGTTTTTGTTTGCATGAGGAGGAAGAGACCTGGTTGAGTTCAGTGCCAAGATACCCGGAGTGTGTGTGCATGTGTGTAGAGGAAAAAGTGGGGAGTGGGAGAGTCGCCCAGGGCTGGTTACAACCTGTCTCATGTAAAGTAGCAAGTGGCAACCCTCATTTTACAAAGTCCTTTGGCCTTGGAGGCCCAGAAACCATAGAAAGTATTTACCTGTCAGAGCCAATTTCATCTTAAACCAGCTTCCATGTTAATATGTGCAGCCAGGACTCTGGTTAATTTAGAATTGAAATACATATATCCATACAACCTGTTCATTCACTCTCCTGTGGATATTCCTAAAAGGGATGCCAAGTCATGGTCAGAAGGCTACATGGTAAGTGTGGAGCCAGAATGTGGGGAGTTAGTAGACTCAGACAATTGGTGACATCAGGCTAAAGTATCTGTTGTGTCCATAATGATATTAATAGCTAATATTGACATAGGCTTACTGTGTTGTAAGTGCTTTGTGCATATTGATGCACTTAAGCTTCACAACAGCGCTATGAGGAAGTGATGAAACTGAGGCATCAAGACGTTAAATGACTTACGGTTATTTAGCTAGAAAAGTTTGCCAACCCTTGCATTGGTGGCTCTTTGCTGTTTTTTTTTTTTTGGGGGGGGGTTATTTAGTTATTTATGGGTTATACCTTTATATTTGTTAATATAGCCAGTCACTTTGCAGTGATGTTTTGATGCTTCTGTTCAAGATGACTTTGTATAGTTCTGATCTGTTACAATTTTGATTTTGGAGTTTTAGTTCAGAAGGCAAACCTACTTTTCCTGTTCAAATTCACAGAAGTAAATCATTGTGGCTGTTGTATCCATTGAACATAAATGTTGTTTAAAACCCTAAAAATTCATAAATGATGGGGTGTGCAGTGAAGCTTGGCTCATTTTTAATTGGATCACTACACAGATGCTGTCATCCTATTGTGGAAGGTGAATGACAACAAGGAACCAGAGCAGATTGCCTTTCAGGATGAAGACGAGGCTCAGATGAACAAGGAGAATTGGGCTGTTGTAAAAACTCTGAGGTAACTGGCGGGCTATGGGAATGATTTCTTTATATAATCGGAATGTGCCCTTTTTTTAAGAGATGGAGTCTTGATGTGTTGCCCAGGTTGGTCTTGGACTCCTGGTCTCAAGCAATCCTCCTGCCTCAACCTCCCAGAGTGCTGAGAGTATAAGAGAGAGCCACCATGCCCAGCCTGCCTTTTGACTTTTATATGTAACTTAAAACTTTTGCTTCTTATAACTGTGAGACAGTCATAAGACAATAGTTAAAAGATTAAAAAAAAATGGAAATGGATTTTTTTTAGTTTCTGCTATGAAATTTTCCTTAGTAAAAATGAGCCAATTTTAAATATACAAATATCCTTGAGAGTAGTTGTTTATAGCTACAGCTATAGTTCCAGTGGATATTTCTGGAGTACTATTTAAATGCATGGTCCCTGAGTTTGCCTTTAAATTTTGGATAATTTTTCCATTTTTGAATCAATAATTGCTTTTTGTCCCTTTTTCTTTGGATTCTAGGGGCCACTTAGAAGATGTGTATGATATTTGCTGGGCAACTGATGGGAATTTAATGGCTTCTGCCTCTGTGGATAACACAGCCATCATATGGGATGTCAGTAAAGGTAAATGATATGTTTTTGTTATTATTAGCAGGAAGAAATATTCTAAGTATCTAAAAGGCTAACCTTGAAAAGCAACACAAAGAATTTCTTCAGTGAGCTAAAATAGGTGGTTGGCTCTACAGGATAGGGATTAGTCCCATATGCCATGGATCCAGTTCAGTTTTTAGGGCCTAAAATCTCAGTTGGAATGTAAAAGGCTTAGCAGTGGCATTGTGAGTTAGTGGTGCTGAGGCAGGCAGGTCCCATGTGGCTGGGAATGCAGAAGTTGTGACAGGTCTGGTCCCTGCCTTCATGGAGCTTAGGATCTCGGAAAGATTAACAAGTCGTTTATAATTAATAGGTCATTGTGTGCTAGCTGATGGGGTAGGTGGATCAGGTTTCCATTTTAGGAGACCAAGGAAAGCCAGGGACATTCTGCTGCTAGAACATTCTGTTCTCTAGCTAGGTAGATAGTAGACATATGAGAAGTTAAAGTGATATAAAAATAGCAGCAAAATGCCAAGAGCCAGCATTGGCTTATTCCTAGCCATTTTTATCCCCTGCAGTCCTTTACTCATTTTTTTTTCCCTCAAACCAAACCTCTTGCTGCTAATTCTCCCACAACCCAAGTGCCCTGGCCAGGGAGTCACAGCCAACACAGTACTGCTCTGATCCTGTTTTCATTTTCTCTGAAAGTCTCTGTTCTTGTTAGTTTTGTGCCATCCAGCTAACCCCCTCTGTCCTGCCTTCTGTCTGCCATACTGTTTCTATTCAGTCCCCAGCATTCCGGCAAGTTGGAGGACCAGTGTCACTGTTTTCCTGTCTATCCTAGATTGGGCCATTGTCCTGGATAATTTCAGGGCAATCCATCAGACACCCCATTAAACCTCTTGTAACCGACCTTGGCCAGCACACTGGGTGCTGCAAACAACAGGATCGAAATGGCTACATTGTAGTGGGGCTGGCAGACAAAACACCATGGATGTGACATCAAGTGTGCCCTGTGTAGGAGCTCTTGGAGAGAGCTCTGAGCATTTGGTGTTTGAGCAGAGACACAAATGAAGTCAGAGAACAAGCTGTGGGTGTTACTCAGTAAGTAGGTTCTGGCCTGTGGGAACAATAGGTGCAGAGCTCCTGTGGCAGGAGTCACTTGTACATCTAGGGAAGAGAATGGAATGGAATAAACAAGGGTGGCTGGGAGTACTGAGGTTGGGAGGAGGTGAGTTCAGTGTCACGCAGGCTGTGGGTCGTGGGAAGGAGTTTAGATTTTATCCCAGGTGTGATGGGTTGCCATGGAAGAGTTTTAGACAATCGAGTAACATGATTTTATTTATGTCTTAAAGGCATGTCTCTCGGTGGCATGTGGCAAATAGACTAGGAAAGGACAGGAGCTGGCAGGGGAGCTGTCCTTGGTGTAGCCAAACTCAGGGGAGCAGGGATGAGGCTTGGGCTTGGGGGCCATGATAGAGGGGTGGAGAAGGTTGGATTGAGACATAATCTGAAGAAAGAACTGACAGGATTGGCTGATAGATTAGCCATAATTCCAGGCATTTTGGCAATTAGGTGTATGTTGGTGCTGTATTCTGAGGTTAAGAACACTGTTGGGAGAGCAGTTTTGGCAGAGCATGTGGAAATCAAGGCCACGTCTGAGACCTCTGTCACTTTAACTGCTCTATTAATGTCAGCCTCAGGCAGACGTCCCACTCTCGCACTAGAACCACACCACACACAGTGTTCTGACACCTTTACAACTTCTCCCGCTCTTCTTCCCAGAGCCCCCAAGTGTGTCGAGCCCTCTGTCTCCTGGTCTGTCAGTCCCCTTCCGGCCTGTCATGTTTCCTCTCCAGCTTGCTCCCCTGGTCCTAAGTCAACACAGTCCCTTCTGACCCCTTTTCTTCCATTTCACTCACCAGGGCAAACCCCAGCCTAGGATCCGTGTCACAGTGCACCTGTAATTTTCTGACCCTAGGCTGAGCACAACTGGTTAAAAACCCGCAGCCCTGCAGATTGGGCCACTGCAAATTCATTCTGTCTAACTTTAGGTGGGGTCTTGGTGACCTCCTTCCCCCCTCCCCATTCACTTGTCAGGATCATACCTTCTTCTCAAGCCCAACCACCTTAATCCTGGCAGATTTCCTGAAAGTTTCAAGGGGAGAGGAACACCAGTCAGGACGTAAGGAGGATGGGGTGGGGTGGGGGAGTTAGACTGAGTTTTGTACAGGCTGGTCACTGGCAGCCTGAGGGCAGGCAGTTTAGGGGACTATGAACAATGACTGCCACGTTGCAGTGGACCGAGGGAACGGAAGGTGAGGGGCTGGGAAGTAAATGAGGCCACATCTTGGGAGGGCTTTGCTGTTGTCTTTTTTTTTTTTTTTTTTGAGAATGGCCAAGGCCTCATAACTCCCTCATATTTTTATCCAGGTGCTGTCTGTCTGTGCTGCTGGTTTTATCTGCTAAACATTTCCCTGAAGTCCCTCTACCATCCCTGTTAACATTGTGCTAGTTCAGGACTTTGTCATTTCTTGCCTGGTCTACTTGTCACCTCCTCACTAGTAACCCTTTTTGCCATCTTTTCTAAACCTCAGCTTCATCTCTAAAATGTAGATCCCTTCTTAGCTTCGTGTTCCTTTCAACCCACATACCTGGAGTAGCCAGAGCCTTTGCCCTATATACAGGTCTCTGTAGCATTCCTCCTCCTTGCTGTTCTTGGCCCTTTGCCTTACCCTGTGGCAGTGCTGTCACTTCTCACCGTTCCCAATTTGCTGTGCGGAGCTGTCTTTTCACCCCACAGACTTTCTTAGGATACCCTCATCTCCCTGTGCTCTGGTCCCTGCTTCATCCTGTGTGACCTGGGGAAGCAAACTTCGGTCCTCTCTGACCTGACGGGGGGTTTCCTTCACCCCTGCTTCATCAGCTGCCCTCCCCCTACAGTCCGGGGTTGTATGGGACTTGCCTGTTGACGAGTCTGATCCTGAGCTCCCTCAGGGTGAGACTGTGTGAAGTCATCTGTCTCAAGGGCCTGACGCAGGGTTTGGCACTCAGTCAGGTACCAGCTGCTGAATGATGGAACAGTATAAAGGGAACAGTGTCTAAGTCGTACTTTATAGCATTTGTGCTCAAATAGGTTTTGGTAACGCTGTTGTGTGCTTTTTTTGTAGGACAAAAGATATCAATTTTTAATGAACATAAAAGTTATGTACAAGGAGTAACCTGGGATCCTTTGGGTCAATATATTGCTACTCTGAGCTGTGACAGGTACTTTAGTATTTGGCAAGTTGTCTTTGTCTATATTTACTTGGAATTCTCTACAGAAGTATATTTATCCCAATTTAACCAAGATGTATCATAGTTTAGCTTTGATTCTTTTGTTCTTATTTTCAACATATGAGCAAGTGACCATATCACATGTTACAACATAATAAGAAGTGGGAAACTAATGAGGGCAAGTGCCTTAAATGAAGTTAGTACTTAGTAAATCTATATTGAATGGGTAAGTTAAGTGTAGAAAGAGCTTTCTAACATCAAATAAACTTTGAAATAGATATGATTTCACGGGAGACTTAAAAAATCTTTTATGAATGTGACTTAATCAAGAAGAGGTAGTGGGAAAGTTGGACTATTTCAGTTTTGATTATAGTTTACTGATATAGTGATTTTAATTACTATTTAAATTGATGTAAAAATAAATGATTTTTGTCTTTTCTGAAAGGAAGTCTTATTGCTGTGTTACTACTGTTGTAATTGCATTTAATCGTGTTCTTGGAACAAGGAGTTAAAAAAAATCAAGAGTGGCAGGTATATTACTTAACAGAATAGTCCTTTGGAATATTTATCCAACTACTTTTAATTAAAACAAATTGAATTTAAGATGGATCTGAAATAAAAGCAATATGGATGAGTTAGTGTTTATTTTTCAAAGAATCTTCTGTTGTATTCTACATGCCATTTATTTTCTGATATGTTTTATTCAGGCAATTAGAAGTAAAACAGTGATTAGTTAGTGCAAGTAATATGACTTATCAACAACTAAATTGACATGCTGGTGTTTTCCTTACTCTTATAAATCAGAAAATAAACTTAATTGCCACTGAGCCAAATGTCCAAGATCTGAAAAGTAAGGCTGGGCCTAAAGTATGTCTTGAGAAGTCAAAACATTCAATGAAACATTTTTTTTAAATGGTGATGTATTTCCCCACTGTAATTCCCTTTAGGTTGTTGATAATTGCTTTTGTCATAATTACTCAGTTATGTCTGAAGTTTTGCAGGCTGAAAATTGTTTAGGTAGTCTTTAGTGTTGGTAACAGATTGTTTTTCATGTGAAACATAATTAATTTACTAGAAGTGGTAAGTCAGACTTTTGTTTTTTATTCAGGGTGCTGCGAGTGTACAGCACGCAGAAGAAACGTGTGGCTTTTAATGTTTCAAAGATGCTGTCTGGAATAGGGGCTGAAGGAGAGGTATGAAATATTTTGACATTCCCTTGCATTGAGACTAGGAAGTCATGACCTCCTCCTCTACCTCCACAGTTGGGTCACTGGCCTCCAAGACTCGATACCTGGACTGGAGGAAGGTTTCCTCCCGGACAGTCAAAGCACAGTTAGTGTGATGGGCTGGTCTGTGTGGTAAGGGGGTGTGCCCAGGGCCCAGGGGAGAGCTGATGATGGAGGATAGTGATTTTTAGCCCTGGTTGTGCTGTGGAATCACCTGGGAAGCATTCAAAGTTTGGGTACCTCAGCCCTACTCAGTGGCGTGATACATTCAGCTTGAGGCAGGCAGGGCCTCTGTGAGTCCCAGGCATAGTAATATCAGTCACTACTGATCTGGGAAGATCCCTGCACTGGGCAGCAGAGGGCAGGTCCGTTGAGCATTGCATGTGTCTGGCAGCAGGCAGTGCACCATCTTGGCAGGTAGGTAGAGAACTCGGGTAGCAGATAGCAGAGACCCAGCCAGAGGACTGGTATTTAGGAATAGGAAGGACCTTGCTCTTTGAAAGAATTGGCAAATAGAAATAGGACCCTCGTCCTAGAGGAATCAAGACTGACTTAGGAATCACCTAAGCAGATGCTTAGGTGAATGGGGGAGCAAGCCAGTTATTTGAGCAAGAAAGGGACTTGGTGCATATCCCCTCCGAGGGGCCGGGGGAGGCAGTGTGGGTCGAGAGCTGACGGGCGCTGAGAGGTCACATCTTCAAGTAAGGATAGTAACTAACAACTGCTGCCTTGTGTTCTTGAGAGTTAAATGCTTAATGTTTATAAAGCGCCAATAAATGGTAGTAAGAACTGTTCCACACAGGTGTTCAAGAAATGTTGTTTGAAAAGATTATATGATTACCAGTTTAATAATCCACTAATTTCTTTTTAAAAAGTGTGCATTCAGTTGGAAATTTTAAATATATACATAAAGGTCAAAAGCAAAGATCTAATTATCTTCCCACTATCTCCCTAGTCTCATTTCTAAGACAAACCACTGTTGATATTGTGATATTTTTTACAGAGTTTTTAAAAATAATTATATATCCCCCCCACACATATATAGATACATACACACATACAGCTTTACTTAACAAAAATGGGTGATCAGTTTCCATGAATGATTACTTTTGCAGTCTTACATAATTATTTGATTTTTAATATGTTTCAGTTTCATTATGTCACTAATAAAGGGGACAATATGTAAGGAAAAACATATAGAAACATACAGAAATTGTTAAGCCTTTATTATAAGTGTAAAGATTTAGAATAATGTTTAAACTTTGTATGCAACAGGCAAGAAGTTACCGTATGTTTCATGATGACAGCATGAAGTCATTCTTTCGTAGACTCAGTTTTACTCCGGATGGGTCTTTGCTTCTCACACCAGGTGTGTTTCACAGCTTTTGATTTAGGGGTGTGATGGCGGAGTGGGAATGTCTCTGCTCTCGTTTTGTGATATGTCTTTTCAGCTCAGTTGAGTTCTGATCAGAGCAGTGGTCTTGAAATTGTCTATACATTGGAACCTCCAGGGAAGCTTCAGAAAAATACTGGTATCTGGGTCTCACCGAGAGATTGTAGTTTAATTGGTCTGGGGTGGGTGGCCTGGCTTTGGGAATTTGAAAAAGATTTCCAAGTGATTCTAACGTGCAGACAAGTTTGGAAGTCATGAGATTAAAGTGATAGCCATTTTCTCTTAGATAAATTTAACTTTTAAAATATTTGCTACTCGGCCGGGCGCGGTGGCTCACGCCTGTAATCCTAGCTCTTGGGAGGCCGAGGCGGGCGGATTGCTCAAGGTCAGGAGTTCAAAACCAGCCTGAGCAAGAGCGAGACCCCGTCTCTACTATAAATAGAAAGAAATTAATTGGCCAACTGATATATATATATAAAAAATTAGCCGGGCATGGTGGCTCATGCCTGTAGTCCCAGCTACTCGGGAGGCTGAGGCAGGAGGATCGCTCGAGCCTAGGAGTTTGAGGTTGCTGTGAGCTAGGCTGACGCCACGGCACTCACTCTAGCCTGGACAAAAAAGTGAGACTCTGTCTCAAAAAAAAAAAAAAAAAAATATTTGCTACTTAAACTTTTTAGTAAGTGTTTTTTTTTTTTTGCTAGATAGACATGTATATGTATAGTCCTGAAACCAAAGATAAAGTACCTTTACTGCTTTTATTCTCCTCAAGAATGAAGCAACCTGTTGTGACAGAATTAGGCACCAGGACAAGTTTGGTTGGACTAACTTGTGGGAGTGGCAGTGGTCAAATCTGAAAAGTCAACAGAATTAGCAAAGACAAGATAGGTTTATTGTCTCTAGCCAGGCAAGAGGCTAAGCCCAACAAGATGAGGGTGGTAGGCAGTGTTGTGGCCTGAGTGTTCTTGGAAAAGAATGTCTGCTAATCTCCATGGTGTCTGGACCATCCTGTGCATAAAGATGATGACATAGACCAGGGTTGGGCCAAACAGGAGGGCACAGGTCAGCTCTGCCACTAACAGTCCCAGCCAAGCAGGGCTAGGAAGGGTCCAAGCATGGTGTGGATGACACATGCCTCTGAATGGGTTACGTGTTGAAGACCACTGGGGAACATGGGGAATGACACTTTGGCCCAGGGAGTCTCAGGACCAAGGAAAGTAGTTATTTACTTAAAGGTTATTATTAAAAGTTGTTTATTAAACCCTGTAACACATTTTTTAACAAATAGCAACTCTAAACATATTTTCAGTTAAAATCAGGTACCAGGTCTGCTATCACTGTTATTGTTCTTAGCGGTATTAGTGTGTGCAGGAAAATGAAATTACGAAGATTGGAAAAGAAGATAAAAAAAATTGTGGTAGAATTATATTTCTAGAAAATCCAAGAGATTTAAAAAATACTGTCAATTTAAACAAATTTGATAAGGTGGCTGGATATTGGGAAATATGTAAAAATCTGTTTCTTTTTATATTAGCAGTAAGTACTTAGAAGTGGAAAGAGGAAAAATACTCTATTCACAGTGCAAAGTCTTTAAAATGCATTGAAGTAAATTTAATAAGAAAAGCACAGGGCCTTTATGAAGAAGAGTAGAAAATCTTATTAAAGGTTATAGAATAAGTTTTGAACAAATGGAAAGATATATCATATTCTAAAAATTAACATACCAGTTTAATTTCCAGTTAGAATCCCATTAAGGGTGTGTGTGTTTTTTTAATTGGATGAAATCTCAGCTTTGTTTACTAGAATAAATGCTGATGAACAGCCAAGGAAGTATGAAAAAAAGAGAATAATAATTGAGAGGGCATTTGCCTCACCGTGTGTCAGAAAGATAGTATAACACTACTGTTTATCAAATCAGTATGATATCGATATAGGACTAAACAAATAAATTAGTGGACCAGAACAGAAAAACCAGAAATAGATCTGAGGATGTAATATATGACCTTAGTTGGTATTTCAGTGAGAAGAATATTTATTTATTATTGTATATTACTTAAATAATTTTCAAGTAAATTAGACACTTAGGCAATAGAATGAAAATGTCATTAAGGAGGCTGGTAAGTATGAAGATTGGACAAGAACCTTTTTTTTATTGACAAATTGTATATATTTATCATGTATATGATGTTTTAAAGTATATATACATTGTGGAATGACTAAATGTAGCTAATTAACATATGCATTATCTCATATAGTTATGATTTTTGTGGTGAGAACACTTTATATCCACTCAGCATTTTTTAAGAATACAATATATTCTTATTAACTACAGTCAGTTGTACAGTAGATCCCTTGGAGGGACAAACATACTGAATGAATCGTACTGGGGTAGCCAGCTGTATGGAAGAAGATGAAATTGGAGTCCTCACTTTTAATAAATTTCAAGTGAATTCAGTACTTAAATATGAAAGATAAAAATATAAAACTCCTACAAGAAGATGTAGGAGGACATTCTAAGAAATGGAGAAGACCTACAAGAAGCTTTTGAAGAGATGATAGAGCTATTTGACTGTGTTTGAATATAGACATTTTTTATGACAAAAGATACAGTGAGCAAGTCAGTAAGTAGACAAATGATAGAACTAAAAAATAATATTTTTGGTACAGGAGAGAGAAGGCTAATGTATATCATGTACAGTGATACCTTCCAAATTGGTAAGAGCAAAACAAAACCTTTACTGCTTTTATTCTCAAAAAATGAGAAAAGGATATGAAAAAAATGAAAAAAATGAGCGAAGGATATGAAAAGGCAGTTTGTAGAAGAGCAAATCTGCATGTTCAACAGATATAGGAAAAGGCTCACTAACAGAGAAATACAAATTAAAGTGGCATAACAAGGCCACAAAGAATGTCTCTTTATTCCCTTCAGACTGGAAAAAGCAATATCCATTGCTGATGGGCTTGCAGAATATAGGTACTGCTGGTGGGAATGTGAATGTCACAGGCACTTGGAAAACAGTCTGGTGACTCATGTACCTCCAGTCCATCCATCCCATGGCTGTGAACCTAGTCCTTACGAAATGAGAGTGTAGATGTAAGGGTATATGTTCAAGGATGTTTATTGCAAGCATTGTTTGTAATGGTAAAAAAACGAAAATAAAGCATATTCATTGACAGTTTGGGTGAGTGCATTATGTTATTAATATTTTCAGACCAGTAAATATTACATTTTTATTAAAAAAGAATGCATTTGTGCTGTGCAAATTAACTTTCATGAGTAGTTCATAGAGACAAAATAAGGAAAAATATAAACACCCTATTTTGTAAAACTATCTTATGGATATATATGATTGAGTAGTGACTGGTAATAATGATTCTATGAACATGGAGGAAGTATAGAAATGACATAATGGTTGGTTATTAATAAAATGGACTACCTGGGGATAGAAGGATGGGGAGACGGTATGTAGGCAGAAGTATAATAGTAGAAAAAAAAAGACTACTAATGCTGTCACGTGTTCTCTCCAGTAAATATGAAACGGTCACATGTAAAATTATATGTGTGTATATGTATCAAGAAATATGAACATAAAATAGGGAGGTGTTCCCAAGAGCAGCTTTGCATGACAGTCACTCTGTGACAGTCTGACCTGGTTTTAACTACATCCTAGAGTAAGTATAGAAAAGTTCTCAAATGTGGACTGTTCCCAGAGTAAAGCCAGTTTCTGCAGGAGGCTGGAGGTTTCAGCAGAGTCCTCGGTCTCCTGGCAGCCTCAGCCATTGGGTGGCACCCAGGTCAGAACTCAGGGCATAGGGACGCAGGGATCCTAGTGGAGCCTGGGCAGCTGGGTCTAGTGCCAGCGTTTCAGCTGGAGGGACAGAGGTATCTTATAGCAGGGGCCTCCTGCTTTAAGGTTCTTCCTGTTCATAACCCAAACTGGCTTCCTGGGGGCTGCTCAGGTAGAGATGACAGGTAGATAGAAATGGAGTGAGTGGTGAGACCACAGTCTCGGAATTTTTGTTTTTGTTGTCAGTGACAAGAACATTGTCCAGAGAATACATCTTTAGGGGAAAATATTTTACAAACCAGAATTGAGGGCTATTGAGTTTTTGTTGGTGATGAGTTTAATAAAACATTGACTTTCTTTCCTCTCCTTCCCTTTCCCTGCTCCCCACCCAGCTGGATGTGTGGAATCTGGTGAAAATGTAATGAATACAACTTACGTTTTCTCCAGGAAAAATCTTAAAAGGTATGCAATTGAGGGAATATTTGAAATGTGTACCATTACTTTCTTGCTTTTGCTGAGTACCAGTGCCTTTTTCTAAAACTGTGATTCCTTTGTCAGGCCTATTGCTCACCTTCCGTGTCCTGGAAAAGCAACGCTGGCTGTCCGCTGCTGCCCGGTCTACTTTGAATTGAGGCCGGTGGTGGAAGCAGGTACCCTTAGAACCAGGGCTTGTGTTAGGTTTTGTCCCTGAGGCAGGTCACCAGGGTGAGGTGGAGATTTGGATTCTGACTTGTGGGGACAGGTGGGTACTAGGGTTTCATTCAGTTTAGTTACTCTTAAAAGCTGGAGCAAAGATAGATATTACCAAATATGTGCTTTCCCCCCCCATTGTTCAGAATATACTTTCTTGCTTAAAGTAACTTTAAAAGAATATCAGTACTTTTTTTGTTTTCCCCCTGATTGAATGTCATCCAGTGTCAAGTTTCTATGCAGTAAAATTGTGTATGAAGTGGATTTTTGTTTTTAATTCCCCCACCCCTGGCTGCTTTTAAGATTTTTCTCTTTATCAGTGGCTTTAAGCAATCTGATTACAATTTACTTTGGTGTGATTTTCTTTGTATTTCTTGTGCTTGGGGTTCGTTGAACTTCATAGATATGTGAGTTTATAGTTTTCAGCGACTTTGGCAAGTTTCAGCCATTATTCTTTAAAATATTTTTTCTGTAATCTTGTTCTTATTCAGATACTCCAGTTACACATGTATTTGGCTGTTTGGAGTTATCCCATGGCTTACTGATGCTCTGGTTACTTTTTTAGTGGTATTTTTTCTTTCAGTGTTTTATTTTAGAAGTTTCTATAGTTATATTTTACTAATCTTTTCTTCTGTGTGATCTGCCGTTGGTTCCATCCAGTGTATTTTTCATCAGTGACATTGTAGTTTTCATTTCTAGTTCATTTTGGGTCTTTCTCATATATTCCATGTCTCTGCTTAACATGCTCCATCCTTTCTCTTCTTGAACATATAGAATGCAGTTATAATAACTCTTTTAATGTCCTATGTACAAAAGACTGGTTTTGATTGATTTTTTTTCTCTTCATTTGGGGTTATATTTTCCTGCTTCTTTGCTTGCTTTGTAAATTTTTATTAGATGCCAGACACTGAATTTTACCTTAGTGGAAACTGGATATAGTTTTATTCTTATAAATATTCCTGAAGTTTATTCTGGGATGCAGTTAAGTTACTGAGAAACATTTGATTCTTTTGGGTCTTGCTTCTAAGTTTTGTTAGGCAGCATTTACTCTCAGGTAAGTTTCCCACTCCTGAGGCAAAGCCTTCTGAGTAATCAATGCCCTGTGAAATATGAAGTTTTCCACTGTGGCTGGGGAAGCATGCACTGTTTCTGGCCTTGTGTGAGCTTCAGGGATTGTTCTTTCTAATAGTTCTTTCTCCAGCTTAGGCAGTATCCTAACATGTGGGCACTGATCAGTACTCAGCTCATGACCCAGGAGGGACCTTGAAGATCTCTGCAGCTCTTGTCTCTGGTCCTCTGCTTAGGGAACTCCAGCTGCCTTGGCCTTCCGAGACTCTCAACAATGTCTTCTCAACCCAGGGAGTCTTCTGGGCTCTGCTGGGCTCCCTCTACCTTAACGGGGCATGGAAACTCCAGGCAGTAATCTGAGGCAGTGGTAGAACTTACCTCATTTGCTTCCCATCTCTTGGGGATCACTGTCCTTCATCTCCTAATGGGAGTATCTTAAAACTGTTGTTTCATATATTTTGCCAGTGTTTTAGTTTTTTTTTCAGGTAGGAGGGTAAATCCAGTCCCTGTTACTCTAACATGGCGGGAAGAAGAGGCTGTTTTTAACTTTTGGATCCTATATGTGAATACATAAATATCCTTGATAAAATGCCTTAATGGTTATTTTTCCTTATCAGAGAAGTGACCCCTCAGATTGACTTGCCCCACTCACATGGCTTCTTTGTTTTCTCTTCCCATTTGGACCTCAGTGCCCATGATTCTTGGTTTGTGACACACTATCCTCACTGGTTTGTGCATAATTCTCTTGTATTTATGTATTCTATGTAAAATAATAGAGCTGAATTCTTTTGTAAAGCATATAGTAAACTAGTTTTTAATAAAATCATGTCATTATGTGTCCCGGGAGAGGCCTTTTTTTAGGAGAATTAGTTACTAGTTTCCTTCAGGAGCTTTGTTTTTGTTGTTTTACTTTGTCCCTGTTCCTCCTGCAGACAAATCATCTCAGGAGCCAGGTCTGGAGCTGATGCGTCTGCCCTACCGCCTGGTGTTCGCTGTGGCGTCAGAGGACTCCGTGCTCTTTTATGACACCCAGCAGCCCTTCCCTTTCGGTTATGTGTCTAACATACATTACCACACCCTGAGTGATGTCTCGTGGTGAGTAGTGAATGAAGGAGACAGTGTGCATTACCCTGGCCTACGCTCTGGGCTTAGGGAGCATTTCATTACCAAAGAGGGCTTATTTGACCCTGTTCACCAATTATTTTTTAAAAGGAATCAACATTAAAAGGAAAGCTGTTTCTAATTTGCCACAATACTTGCTTCCTGCTTTAGCACCAGTGGGTTTTGATGCCATTCAGGTTGCCCTACGGGATATCAAACTCTAATAAGTGGAGAGGGCAGCCCTGTAGACTCCCTGGTCATATATGGGGACTGGTCAGGCTGTCCTGGAGGAGGCTGTCCCCCTGTAAGTCCCCTGCTGCTCAGAGCAGGGAAGGTGCCCCAGGGCCATGCTGGTCCTGAGGGTGTTACTGAGCACTCTGCCCTTCAGCTACCCGTGGTCCCCTGGTTCAGCCTCCATTGCCTGTTCAGCCCAGCGTGCGTGACCTCCAGTCAAGGCTTCACTACCTACCATCTATTTCTTGTTCCTTATAACTTTTTTTTTTATTTTCTTTTTATCTTAGGGCAAAAAAGGTCATCTTGCCTTTATTCAAATGAAAAGTTGATAATAGTACAGATGGGTTACAATGACTTTGAAAATTGAGTTAGGATTTGGAAAGGAAACTGCATGAGTAAGGAGCTCATACAAACCCTTTCTTTCCTAGTCAAGCTTGTGATTTTGCTTGAACTTCCATTTTGTAACTAGTAATAAGAGCGTTAGATGTGGTCCATAGACTTTGATTAAGGTCTGTAACTTTTCTCCCTGTTTTGGGAACAAAGGTCCAGCGATGGGGCCTTCCTGGCCATTTCTTCCACGGATGGTTATTGTTCATTTGTAACATTTGAGAAGGACGAACTTGGAATTCCTTTGAAAGAGAAGCCAGTTTTGAGCATGGGAACTCCTGATACAGCAAAGAAAACTAAGAGTCAGACGCACCAAGGGTCTTCACCAGGATGCAGACCAGTAGAGGGAACCCCCACCAGCAGAATCCAAGACCCCAGCAGCCCCTGTACGACGCCCCCTCAGGCCAGACAGTCTCCAGCCCCCACGGTGATCAAGGACACTCCTTCGATTACTCCTGGTGTCAAAAGCTCCTTGCCAGCACCTTCAGAGGAGAAGAACCTGCAGCCCAGTAGTCAAAACACAAAAGCCCACCCATCCCGAAGGGTCACTCTGAACACATTGCAAGCCTGGAGCAAGACAACACCCCGGTAAGAACTTTTGACAGTATAAGACTTGTCATTGCAAAATGAAAAATGAAATACAAACTGAACACCCCCAACCTGTTATAGGTAAAACTCCATGCAGTAAGTACGTTATACCAGTGTGTTGCCAGAGAGATTGCTTAACATCAAATCCGAGAGTTCTCGCATGTAGGCATCTGTTGGTTCCTCCATTTCCTGTCTGTTGGGTAAAGCCCAGGCTCCTGTGCATGCAGTAGACTGCGATTTGGTTGCAGCCTGTTGTCCAGGACTGTGGCGACTCACTCTCCTAAGTTCTGTGTGCCTTAATCTCCAGCCTGGCTCTGAGCATCATGTTCCCAGAGCACACTCTGCCCATTGAGGCCTGTGTGCCTTACTTTCCTTGGGGAAGCCTAGGCATCTGCTGCCCTTGGTGACAACACCAGCATCTTCCTGAAAGACCCATTTGAATGTCCCCTCCCTGTTCCCAGTCTTTGTGGCCTTCAGCCCTTTTCTCGTCACCACATGTCACATTTGACAGCAGGTGCTTTGTTTCTGCTTTTGTTTCCCCTGCTGGATCGTGTGCCCCTAAGGGCAAGAGGTGTGTCACCAGTTTTCCTTATGCCTCCTGCCCAGGGTGGTAACAGACACTTCCTAGGACATGGGAAGTCCAAGGAGTGTCTTCTTGAGGCTGAGTTTGATGTTGCCAGCAGACTGGCTCGTGAGAAACTTAAGTGTCTTGGTCTCATGGTAGTGGTCTCCAGGGCAGCCCTGCAGTCATTTCTTCCCTGTTCATGTCAGTCTGGCACGTGTCTGCATCTGCCGCTCCTGCTGCCGACAGCAGCGTAGCCTTCAGTTTCCTTTCTTCCTTTGTAACCCTGATGTCCACTTATCCCCTCTGACTCTGTATACTCCCTTCTCCACCAATCCCTCCACCTCCTCACCTTCCAGGTCAGCTGAGTGGGGAGGTGGGCTGGGGAGGGGTGGGATGGCGAGTTAGATTGATGCTCCGTGTGCCTCTCACATCCCCTGTTGTGTTCACACGTCTTCATCAGCAAGTTCGTAATACTGTATAAGCATAGTGTTTGGCTCTTTGTAAGTGTCTAATTCCTTTTTGCAGACTAGCAAAGTATTTTTGAATTTTTCTATATGTTTTTAGGTGGGAGAAGGTTTGAGGTTGCTGTGAGCTAGGCTGACACCACAGCACTCTAGCCCAGGCAACAGAGTGAGACTCTGTCTCAAAACAAAACAAAACAAAACAAAACACAACAAAAAATGTTGAAAATCAATTGGATTTTAAAAAAGAGTTATCTGTATTTTGGCACATTCCACATATGGAAACCATATGTGGTAGCCTTCTACACAGCAGTCAGCAAGCTATTGAGCAGACCGTAAGTAATAAAAAAAACAAAACAAACAAACAAAAACCCATAGGTTTTGAGCAGGCATGGTGGCTCAGGCCCATAATCTCAGCACTTTGGGAAGCCAAAGTGGGAGGATCACTTGAATCTGGGAGTTCTAGGCCAGCCTGGGCAATACAGTGAGACCCTGCCTCTATAAAAAATTAAAATATTAACTGGGTGCTGTGGTGTGCACCTGTAGTCCCAGCTACTTGGGTGACTGGGGCAAGAGGATCAATTCAGCCCAGGAGATCCAGGCTGCAGTGAGCTTGATTGCACCACTGTACTCCAGCCTAGGAGACAGAGAAGGCACTGACTGGTCAACACTAAGGTGCTTAGCACTCTGGGAGGCCGAGGTGGGCGGATTGCTCGAGGTCAGGAGTCCAAAACCAGCCTGAGCAAGAGCGAGATCCCGTCTCTACTATAAATAGAAAGAAATTAATTGGCGAACTAATATATATATAGAAAAAATTAGCCAGGCATGGTGGCACATGCCTGTAGTCCCAGCTACTCGGGAGGCTGAGGCAGGAGGATTGCTTGAGCCCAGGAGTCTGAGGTTGCTGTGAGCTAGGCTGACGCCATGGCACTCACTCTAGCATGGGCAACAAAGCGAGACTTTGTCTAAAAAAAAAACCACTAAGGTGCTTACACAGTAATAATATTCTTTGGGGGGTGGGTAAACTCACAACTAATGGACAAGGTGAGTGTTGGGGGTAGGGAAGGGCATGTGTCAAATCATGGGTAGGATGTGGCAAAGTCATAGCATGTAACCAAATGTTTGTACCTCCATAATTTCCTGAAATAAAAAAAAAAATAGGTTTTGAAACTTTTAGAGAGCTGGTTACGGTTTAAGTTAACCATTTTAACTTAGTACAGGAATGTAATTCTTAGTTGCTAAACTAACTAAATTTAAAGCATATTATGATCAGCTGAAAACTTTAAGTATTTCCCTTAGTAGTTTTGAAATTTAGTATCATACATAAACAATTCCTGTGACACTAACAAGCCATCTTCTCCACTGTTTCTTTTTTTTTAAAATCAAGGAGGATAAATTTAATGCCCTTAAAGACAGATACTCCACCAAATTCTGTACCAGCCAGTGAAATTTCCACCCCTTCCACAGAAAAAATTCAATCAGGTAAGTGATATAGTTACTGGTTTAATATAATTAAAGATAGAGTATCTTTTCTTATGTTCTCTTAGAAATTAATATCATGTAATTTTAAGTCAGTTCTGAGAAAGCAAGGACGTGTCTGCTAGAACCATTGTTTAAACTCACCAGCTGCTTGTAAATCTCAGCAGGAAGACCACCTTGCTGTAAAAGCAGACTTGTGAGCTAGATCAAGTTTCTCCACATAATGACTGTTGACATTTTGGGCCAGATAGTTCTTTGTTGTGAGTGCTGTAGGGTGCTTAGCAGCATCCCTGGATGTCACCCTTGCCTGTGACATCTTAGATGTCACCTGACATTGCCCATTGTCCCTTAAGAGGCAGAGTGGCCCCTGGTTGGGAACCACTGCTATAGAGACTCCCCTGATGTCAGTAAAAGATCTTGCCAGGCAGTTCGTTTCCTTGTCTTGGCTCTATATTTTGTAAATGTCAGCTCTTAACTCTCAGCATGTTCATTCACTTGCCAACCTCTGTTTGCTGGTGTTTCAGAGATGCCTGGAGACCCTCAGGGCAGTCCTCCAGAGCTGAAAAGGCCCAGACTCGATGGAAGCAAAGGAAACATCCAAAGTCTGGACTCTTGATGGGATCTCAGCTTCTGCTCGCCTGCCTGCAGGGTGCGGGAGCCCCGTGTGCACAGGGAAGGAGGCGGCATCCAGAGAGCAGAACGGACGCTCGCAAATTGATTTCTGTAACAAAAGTTACATGTGTACTGATTTTTCTCCAGAAATATGGATGCTGTTGTATTTGGTATCCACTTTTAACTTGGGGATGTGAACATTTTAACAGACTAAATCCTCCTTTTGATGAGTTTCTGAAACTGGAGCAGTTCCACATTATTTAGCATGAAAATCAGTAAGCCCTCCCTTGAATACTCATAAAAGTACAGACACTTTCTGGGCAACTCCTTTTATAGTTAGAGTTAGAAAGAGGAGAAAGTAATTTGAGAAGATTTATTCTGTTGAATTTTAGAGTGTTTGAAATGATTATTAGATTTAGCTTCTCATTAGTTGATTAATTAAACTTTGGAAGGTTGTTGTATTTATTTTCTAATTTTAAAGGTAATAACTCATTCTGGAAAGTTAGTAAATTACAGTGAAGTTAAAAAAAAGTGGGGCTGGAGGTGGGAATCACTGTAATCTTAGCACCAGAAGTAACCCTTGTTGTAATATATTTCCTTCTTAGCATTTTTATGGATTTTTTTTTTTTAAGACAGAATTGAGATTTTACTTCAGATACAATTTGGTATATAATAGGTTAACTTAGTTTGGTTTTTCAAACAAAAAAGTATCTTAGCAATTTATGTCTACTTTTGCTTTCTCCCCGCCTGGGGGTGATCATATGTTCTTTTTACCTATTAGGAGTGAGCATGAGAGCTGTGGTTGAAGGAGGCAGTCACACATGTCTGGGGGCTTCTCTGAGCTCAGGGGCTGGTGGGTGGTGTGATCCAGGGCTTAGTAGCCCTGTGGCAGCTGGGATGAAGCCCCGTTTAGAAGCTGGTGCTGCAGCCTCCCTTCGGGAGAGCTGTTACAGTTGAATTTCATAATGCTTGATGCTGACACTTTGGCATATGAACAGATGAGTCATGCAAATGAAGGCGGTAAACTCGGCTTTCTTCCCAGTCTGAAACAGAGTGAAGAGTGAAAGGGTTCAGGACTGACAATTAAGTCTAACAGGAGTGGGGCTGAGGAGTGGAAGAATGTACTCTCTTTAAACAGGTCAGCAGCAACAAAGAAGCATTAATTTTTTGCTTAATCCACAACCTAGTAAACCAGAAAGAGTCTGCCTCCCTTTTCAATGGGAAGGTGGTAAACTAGAGATAATTTATAGTGTAGAAAACTGAAAGGTGAACACATGTATACTTGCAATGCAGGTATGGGTCCCATTCACAATGAAGAGTTTTTAAATGTCAAATGGTCTCTGTTTGACCAGTGGTTCTCAACTCTAGCTGCACTTTGAAATCACCCTAAGAGCTGACACACATACTGAAGCCTAGGTCCCCCTCCAGAGGATCTGGCCTACCTGGTCCGGGGCATTGTTCGAACATTAGGATTTTTAAAAGCTCCTCGAGTAGTTCTGGTGCACAGCCAAGATAGAAATAATAAAAGAAAAAGCTTTTTCTGGATATGGTCTGTTCTGGATATGGTTAAATGCATTTCCACTGAAGGCTTTTTCTTGATTCTCAGCCCCAGCACTGATTGATGTAAAAACCCCTCCTTTACCAGTGCTGCCAGATGGAAGGACAGCATGCAGGAGATGCCATTAGCTCTTGGGAAAAAAGAGTTCTAGAACATCATGCAGCTAGCTTGAGGTATAGTTTGTAGTCACTGGTCCCTGTGCAGACAGATGAGTGACCATGGGTCCCCTGTCCTCAGTGTGGCCTGCTTCCTAGCCAGGCATGGGGAGAACAGTGTTAGGTTTTACAATTGTCTTTTTGTGCATCAACGAAGGGAGTGATGGGGTAGGAGATGGGGTGCACCTGCAGCCTGAAGTGTGCCTTTGTCAGAATGGCCAACTGCCTATTCATCAGCCATCATCCTTGAATAGAAATTACAAAATGAGCAATAAAAGACAAGGTTATGTTACCTCAGTGTTATGGTCTAAAAACTACATATGTCCATCTGGGTAGTTTATTGGGGAAGCCTTTTGCAAAAGGAGCCTAGTCTGGGGTTAGGGAGGTTCCTTCCCACTTCTAGAGATGGTCACTGTCTATACAATCATCCCCACCATCCTGGATGTGTACTTGGATGGGTTTGTGTTTGTTTATTTATTTTTAAGAGATGGGGTCTTGTTCTTTTGCCCAGGCTGGAGTACAGTGGCATGAGCATAGCTCACTGCAACCTTGAAGTCTTGGGCTTAAGCAATCCTCGTGCCTCAGCTTCCCAAATAGCTGGGACTATAGGTACATGCCATAGCACCTGGCAAATTGTTAAAAAATATTTTGTAGAGGCCAGGCAAGGTGGCTCATGCCTATAATCCTAGCACTCTGGGAAGCCAACATGGGAGGATCGCTTGAGCTCAGGAGTTTGAAACCAGCCTGAACAAGAGTGAGACCCCATCTTTGCTAAAAATAGGAAAAATTAGCCAGGCATGGTGGTGCATGCCTGTAGTCACAGCTGCTCTGGAGGCTGAGGCAGGAGGATGGCTTAAGCTCAGGAGTTTGAGGTTGCTGTGAGCTAGGCTGATGCCACGACTCTCTAGCCTGGGCAACAGAGTGAGATTCTTGTCTCAAAAAAAAAAAGATAAATAAAAAAGATTAAAAGACTAAAAATATATATTTTGTAGAGATAAGGTCATGCTGTCTTGCCCAGACTGGTCTCAAATTCCAGAACTAAAGTGACCCCAGCCTTGGTCTCCCAAAGTACTGGGATTACAGGTATGAGCCACCATGCCTGGTCTGTTTATGTTTTGAGCAGTGTTTCCAGGTGTCTCCAGCAACTCTGCTATTGAACATTAGTCTCTGCTGCTAGGTGCCTAGAAGAGAATGAGGCTCAGGGAGACTGCTTGGGAGAACTGGAATCTGGCCGTGTGACCACAGCTAGGGCGTTGGAGGAGGACAGCCAGCAGAGGCAAAGCCTCCCTTGCATGCTGCTGCGTTTATGGCGGGCGAGGATGTGCAGCGCCTCCTCCGGCTAGAGCAGATAGCCAGGCCAGCTGTCCTCAGGAGGAGCCCGCATGGTGAGGGCCTCTAGCAGGTATGATCAGAGGGATATGCCCACTGGGCGGGAGCAAAAGTCTCATGCAGCCCTGGTCATGCGCCTTTGTCCCTTGCAGCCACTTCACATGTCTTGCTGAAAGCTCTCATGTCTGCACTTTGACGGTGCCCTTAGTCCTAACATGTCAGGTGATGAAAGATGTGCTGGCCCATCCCCCCTTCCCCAGCCTGGGCTCTCCCAGGCCTCCCGCAGCTCCCCTTTTTGTTATTTGGCTGTATTTCAGTCTGCTCCCTCTTCACCTGGGGCAGGGGGTGGGAGAGACAGACAGACCTTGGCACACTTAATGTTTCTGTACCTGAAGAAGTCTCCTTACAGCCCTAAAGACAATGGGGTTTGCCTCCTTTGGTAGGGGCAGGGTAAGGGAAAGGTAGGGTGGCCATCCAGGCAGAGTGAGAAATTGAATGAAAATGGCTGGAAGACAAACCAGATCACACTTCTCCCTTGTATATGGAAGTGCCAGACACTTGTGTGCATGCATGAATTCTCTGGCCACTGGAGGTCACTGTCCCACTGAGTCTGCCCAGCAGCTGCACCTCCTAGGCCTGAAGGCCCGTACTTCAGCCCCATCTCCTCTGAGCGAGCTGTGTCCCTGTCCAGTCTTGGGGGCAGGCTTGGCCAGAGTGGTCTTGGACACTGGCTGCAGTCACTGGTGGCCAGACCTAGAGCAGAGCGTTGCTCAACAAACGGGTGGGAAAGGATTATGAAAGTTATGTGTGAGTGGTCATCCCTCTGTTTGTGTATTCACTCGTCCATTTAAGTAATGTTTATCAAACACCTTCCAGGTACCAGAGGAAACAGCACGGACAAACCAGACGAAAATCACAGTCTTCATGGAACTTACGTCTGGTTGGGGGAGACCAACAATAACATAAGTAAATACCTATTAGAAGGTGACTGTGGAAAACAGAAAGGTGAGGGGCCTGAGAAGAGCTGGGTTGCAGAGTGGGGTGCAACGTAAAGTCAGGAGGGCCTCCCTGAGAAGGACGAAACAGAATGCAGGGAAGGCAAAGAAGAATGTGATCAGGTCAGCTGTTCTAGGTTTTTCTATAAGCAGGACATCCTTGTCATCTCAGGTACCCAGTACATTCTGTGTGCAGGCTGTTTTTTTTTTATTTTGGGGGGTTTTATTTTTGAGACAGGGTCTTGTTCACTTACTCAGGCTAGTGTGCAGTGGCAGTCAGCTCACTGCAGCCTTGAACTCCTGTCCTCAAGCCATCCTCCCACCTTGGCCTTCCAAAGTGCTGATATTACAGGCAGAGCCACTGTGCCTGGCCAGGCTGGGTGTTTTGGGGTCCTCCAGCACCTTCCCCAGTGTGGCTGGAGTTGCCCCATCAGCATCTCGGCCCTATTCTCACACTCACCTCCAGGAGTTGACCCGATGCCTTCCTGTGGGCAGTCTCTGGGGCTGTGGGTCAGATGGCCCAGAGCAGCTGAGGTTGAGTGTTGCAGTAATTCTGATGGGGTAGGGAAGCCACCCTTGTGCGTTGCCTTGGGAGTGCAATCTTTAAATCCTACATCTCTGGTCCAGCCTTGATTCCAGATTGAAGGCAGAGACATGTATCATCAGCTGTTATCTTCTAGGTCCTGCTGCTAATCAACTTTGTGGCAGGTGGCATATTCCTATGTTACTTGGCACTAACAAAGTCAGCATGGAGAGGAGAATATTTTCATTACTTTGAGTGTGAAGCAACAGCTGTTGCCCCTTTTAAAGATTTGGTAACATGATTAGCAATGATGTGATTTTGACACCCAAAACCACTTGATGCCTCCTGTCATAGAACATTCTCTGCGAGAGGAATTTCAACTGTAATCCCAAGTCTTTGTGATGGCTCTGGTCTTTCTGTGCCTGGACAGGACCCTTGGCAGGTGTGAGAAGTGTGGGTGTAGAGGGAAGTGCATGCTGGACGTCAGGCCCTCCCGCCTGGGGCCCTCTCTCCCCAGCAATGCCCTCTTCTCCCCATCTCCTCCTGCCCACCAGGTATGTGGAACCAACTCTAGACCCTCAGGCTCAGCCTGTGTGGGTGAGCCGGGTACATGCATTTTACAGAGCTCTCCAGGAGACTCTGCAGGTGGTCAGAGTGGAGAACTGCCTGTCTGGGAGTTGTGAAGTCTGGAAGAGACATCTGCGAAGGGCAGTGAAACACTTTGAGCTCAGTGGTTTCGTGACAGACACCTGTATTCAGCCACCCAGAAGGCTGACTCTTGGAGAAAAAGCTACTATCCACTGCAGCGCCCCTTGCTCTTACCTGGAGGTTATAGGAACAAGTGGATGCCGTGTCATTGGAGCCACTGCTCCCTACCAGGGAAGGTCAGGCCAGAGCAGCCTTCGGAGGAGGAGCTGACCTTGGGCAGGGCGGGAGCTGTGAGCCAAAGACAGCTGCAGAAATGCCCAATGATGACATCCTGTATTTCTTCCAGGCTGGCAGGGCTGGCACAGCATCTACAGCTGTTACAGAATGCTGAAGGAGGCTGTCACACAATTGCAAAAAGGGATTTACAACAGCCAGTACTTAGAAACTGATTTTTAAAAAGAAAGTAAGATTCTGTCCAAGCTGGTGTGAAACAAAATATTGGAACCCACGTGCATTAGTTTCCTAGCACTTAAATCAGCAGGAACTTATTCTCTCTGCACTGGAGGCTAGAAGTCCTAAGTCAAGGGGTTGGCAGGGCCATGTGCCCTCTGAAAGCCATGGGGGAAAATCCTTCCTTTTCCAGCTTCTGGTTGTTTTCTGGTCTTCCTTGGCTTGTGGCCACATCACTCCAACCTCTGCCTCCATCTTCACATGGCCTGCTCTCCTGCTCTCTGTCTTTTCCTTCTCTTATCTTCTCTTACAAGGACACTTGCTGTTGGTTTTAGGGTCCATCCTGATCCAGGATGATCTCATCTTGAGACCCTTAACTAATTACATTTGTAAAAGTCCTATTTCCAGATTAGGTCACGTTCTCAGTTTTTGGGTGGACATGAAATTTGGATGCATAGGATTCAACCCACGACACTACCATGAGAGGGACCTGTGAGGAAGGCTGGCTGGAAAATGGAAAGCAGTTTCACAACATGTGGTGGCTAAACCCAAACCAGGAGGAAACTACCTTAATTGCTGAAATGTGATGCGTCCTCTGAACTGTCCCCAGCTGGCTGGGCATGGCACCTCCAAGGTTTCCTTTGCCACTGATAGTGCTGGCTGGAGGAGAGGAGGCCCTGTGCGTGGGCACCCACAGGGGCTGCTGAGATTAACCACATGTCACCTGCACTTGTTCCCTGGAACTCACAATAGGTCTCGCAGGTATGAGGAAACTGAGGCACAAGGAACTTAAGAAACTTTCTCGAGATCTTAAAATTATAGGTAGTAGCTGGCCAGGAGCCAACCGGTTCCAAAGTCTGTGCTCTCCCCTGCTATGCTACCTGGGTGAAGGAGAAGCTCCAGGAGCTCAAGTGAGGCCAGACCAAACTCTCGGTCCATCCCTCCTCAAGCATGGGTTTCCTCCCGCTAGTGAAGAAAGACCTGCTGGCTGGGAGTCCAGGCAGGATGGTGGGCAACCTGGCTTAGCTTTCCTGAGCCCAGCTCCAACCCACAGGGGATGTTGGAGATCGCTGGAGAGAGGGCCCTGATGCAGGAGGGAAGATGAGAGATTGTGAGGTAGAGGTCTCATGACAGAGAAAAGAATGTCTGGGTTTCAGTGTGGTCCTGCCTCATACAACAGATGGCCCCAAAGGGCAGCACTGGAAGGTGATGACAGGGTAGGGTTGGGGAGGGCAGGCCTGGTCTTAAAAGCCAAGACCTGAAATTCAAGGAGGAGCGGGCATTTCAGACAGAAGAAATAGCCAGAAAGGGCTTGAGGTGGGAAGTCCTGGCCCATTTGAGGAACAG